ACGCATTCACTCTCGCTCTGTCTCTTTCTATTCCCCCTCCCCAGGAGCGTTGAACGTTTAACGCAACAGTGCTTTCATATCCCCTCCATGGTAGCGTTAAACGTTTAACGCAACCTTGTTGGAAGTTGCACTAGAAGTTTCATTTATAAAATAAAAACCGGCAAAAATAAAAAATAAAAAACATGGAAAAATAAGTATTTAAAGCAGAGTATCTATGTGCATCAAAATATTTTTTTCATTGTATTTAATAAAAATAAATATACTTATTAACTTTTCAAATACAATACTTTGTTTAATTTAAAAATTTTTTCGCATAGTTAAATAATATTAATAATAAAATATATTAAAAAAATTTTTTTTAATAGGAAATCAGCTTATTTCTAAATGTTCGAAATTTCAGTAAGGTATTCTTGGCGAATTAAAAAAAAAAAATATCGCTTTGTTTTCTTTAACGCCAATACTACCTACTATGTTTTTCTCTTACCTCGTGCGCTCAACGAACGTAAAGAGAAATCTAGTTTCCATGACAACGGTAGCGTTAAACGTTTAACGCAACCTTGTTGGAAGACGCATTAGAAGTTTCACTTCAATAAAAAAATTTATAAGACATTGAATGCATTGAAATAAGTTTAAGAAAGATGCTAGTTACATGAGAAACAATTTATTTTGAGAACGACAAGCTAATGCTGACCCGCCAAACTGAGCCTCTTCTAAGGAGAGAATGACCCAGCTCTTCTATTCTCTTTGAACATTCAGCCTTTAGAAAAAATAAATAAATATTTTCTTAACTTAGAAAAAAAGGACTAAATGGCTCAAGGAAAAGAATTTTTTGACCAAAAACAAAACTCTTATGACAGAATGACTAAAAATTCTGGTCCTCCTGGTTAATTCATTTAAAGTCCGAGGTAATTTTTTTTATAAAAAGAACAACCAAAAACATTTCTCCTGAAAAAAGAAATCTGTGTCTGAAATAAGGACAAAAGGACTCTGTGAACATTCTCATTCCCGGCCACGCAGGAGACAGTTAAGAGTCGGACAACACTTTTTTCAAATATTTTCAAATCGGCCAGTTAAGGGACATTTCCAAGCCTCTCCTGACCACATTTTGGGACTGTCTGGGGACTGGTAAGTCTGGGACTTACCAGGTAGGACCTGGTTCAAGTTTCCAAAATGGTGCTAGACTTTCTCATTTTTTTTTTTTTTTTTAGTTTTTAAAATATTTATTTTCAGCATGCTCCGTAACAAGAGTTATAATACATGCATTGAAGAATTAGAATAACAAATTTGGATCAAAAATACAAAATGAAATACAAATATAAAATATAAAAGCAGACAAGTAAGATAAAAAAGAAAGAAAAGGAATATTATGAACAAACTTTTGAAAAATTGGTAGACAGTCAGTATTGATCAGAGTATGACAGTTTGGCGGCCATTGACTTTCTCAGAGTGAACGAGCTTATGGACCTCATCTAGATCTGCTGGTCATGGGGATGAAAACAACACATTTTCTGACCAAAAAAAAAATTGCATCTGAATTATTTTATTACCAATTTATTAGAATACGGAACTATTATTTCTTTGCTTCATTTCACTTACAACTGAGTAATTTGAAATAAAAAAAAAACATGCAAGCATACTAAAAACTCATGTGATTAATTATGTGAAGTGTTATTTGTTATTTATTAGAAGGAAAAAACAATCCATTAAATGTATCCATATTGATGCAAACACTTTTTGTTAGTTTCTCTGATTCAATAAATTCCCTAAAAATGTCACTTACCTGATTCTTCCATCAAGTTTTTTAATTTTGTCGATATTAGAATATTTCAATTAATTAATTATCAACAGTTTATTAGAATACGGAACTATTATTTCTTTGCTTTATTTCACTTACAACTGAGTAATTTGAAATAAAAAAAACATGCAAGCATACTAAAAATTGATGTGATTAATTATGTGAAGTGTTATTTGTTATTTATTAGAGGGAAAAAACAATCCATTAAATGTATCCATATTGATGCAAACACTTTTTGTTAGTTTCTCTGATTCAATAAATTCCCTAAAAATGTCACTTACTTGATTCTTCCATCAAGTTTTTTTAATTTTGTCGATATTAGAATATTTCAATTAATTAATTATCAACAATTTATTAGAATACGGAACTATTATTTCTTTGCTTCATTTCACTTACAACTGAGTAATTTGAAATAAAAAAAACATGCAAGCATACTAAAAATTGATGTGATTAATTATGTGAAGTGTTATTTGTTATTTATTAGAGGGAAAAAACAATCCATTAAATGTATCCATATTGATGCAAACACTTTTTGTTAGTTTCTCTGATTCAATAAATTCCCTAAAAATGTCACTTACCTGANTTCCGTTAAAACAAAATACATATCTGTGTTAGACCATTTCACTAAAATGAAAGTAAATGAGCGTGAGCTTCATTTTCGTTTAGAAAAATAATACAGTTTTATTTTTAATAAATAGTTAAATATGCAATAGGCAGTAAAAAATTCCACATCAAATAACTGTATGAAATGCCGGCAATTTGGATACACCATCCGTAAAATCCTTTTTACCAGAAAATTCATTTTTACCGTAATATTTATTTAATTATAGTGATTCAATGATTTCACTGTAAAAATTACGGTATATCTGATTTTTTTGTTCCGTAACATGCTCCGGTAAAATTGACTTTCATGGTAAAAAGTTCCGGCGACCAAGTGACGTTACTTTTAACCCTAAATTGATCCGGAATTTCTGACAGTGAAATACTGTAATATTCATGTGTAGAATATAAATAAATTAGCTCTTAAAAGAAATATTGTTATTAGGTTTTAAAAATTATTTTAAAGCAAAATGTGCTAGTCTATAAAGAAATAAATGTTCCGAAACAAAAGGCAACTTTAATAAGTACATAAGTAATCAGTATAAATTGATTACACAAATATTAAAGTTAGTAAAAAAAATTCTTAAGTTTCGAGATAGTATTAAAACTGCTTTAATGTTAAATAATAAAAAAAAACCTCTATTGCACACTCTGAGAAAATAAATGTTGTCAAAACTATCAGAATATGGTAAAATTTGCAGCGTATCTGGCTCTATGGGAACACCAAATAATACGGTAATTTTTACCGAAGCGATTTGGTTATGATTTCGGTTAGAGTAGCAGTGAAATGTGATTTGATAAAATTTGGTAATTTCATTATGATAGCTAAGAACATGGCATAAAAACTATGTATTCGGTTAAATTTATTTTCCAGTTTTGTATTTTTTACTAAATGTTGGAACTAAGAGCTATAATTTTGAAAAACCGGAATTTTTGGGTCACAGTTACTCTACGAACGGAAAATTTACCAAATGAATGGTTAACTACAGTATATTTCGGTTTTATTAACCTGAATTATGTTGCTTTATTAGTATTATTTATATATATATATATATATCGATCATTTTCATCTTCTACCTTTCTCCTTCATTTTAACTCATTTCAGCCCAACGTGAACTATATTACTTAAGGACTCTCCTCTCCGACTTCTTCACGTCACTTTTTCAATTATTTCTCCCAGTCATACGGTCTCCTGAGCTCTCTAGTAACGCTTACAAGAAACAGTTTGTCGATTCAGTATTCATATAGTTGACAGTAGATTCATATAGTTGACATTTGATTATACTTCATACTTAGCTGTTGTACTTAAGTGCCTCTGTCATATTTCTTTTTATTTCTAAATGAATATATCAAGAGCTATGATTTTACTTGTGACATGAAGGAATAAACTATTTCGCTTAGTGTGATTAGTTCCAAAGTTAAGTTTTTATTGCTTCATTTCATTAAAAATTATTGAACAAGGAAAGGATTGCATAGTTTGATGATAGCGTTTCAAAATTATTGCGAAATTATTTCAAGAAGGCCCCCTTAAAAGACATTTTTATTAAAAAATGCATTTTAAATGTTTTTATTTATGTAAAATTCTTAGTTGAATTTCTTAAAAAATATATATGAAATAATATAATTTTTTAAAAACGTTTTTAAAAAATTTTTCAAAATATACATTGATAGGCCTTGATTTACCGACTAACTTCATAAATTCCTAAGATAAAATTTTAAAATTATGAAGTGGGATTAATCTGGTACTTAGGTTTAAGCTATCTTAGTGCAATTTTTTAATTGTGAAAAATGCATTGAATAGATATTTTTCTTTATTTAATTCCCTAAAAGTATTTTGAATTAATTGTGAAAAACTAATGGCATAAATCTTTTTTTCAGTTAGTTTATTTAACACATTTTTAATTGTCCTTATATAATAATTATTATATAATGACATTAGTCATATTACATAATAATGCAGAAAAGGATATTCCTTACCTTTATAAAAGGCTTCTAAAAATGAAAACAAATCAATAAAAAATATTAAAAAAAATCAAAATTGAGTTAAAAAAAATTTAAATGTCAACAGAATGGCATTAAAAACTATTAAAAATACAAAGTAATTGCTATTTCTTCGGTTCTTATACTTTATGGCTTGTATAATGTCTTTTTCTTGCAAGTTTAACACATTATTTTGATCAAGGCAATAAATTGCGAAAGCGATTAAGGGGTGATCACTTTCAATCTTCAAGTAATCAATCCTCAGTACATAATTTTTGATTCTTATAGTTCTCATTATCTTCGAGATATTTGGCGAAGTAACAAGCCCTTCACTCTTTATCAGAACGTGAATTATTAGAATGTGAGTATCGTGGTTCAGGTCGTAGTGGGCACTTCTGCCATGGTAGACGTGTTCACGTCATGGTACGAATGTGGGGACAGTAGTTATAGACAATGCTAACTTTCTTCTATGAAAAGGTACCCCTCCATAGAATAGAGTTAACATGTCTTACATACTAGTGAATCGATTCCAACTAACCATGACATTGAAATCTTCACAGACGGGTCGAGAATTCAAACTGAGAACAATGGTAGACTTATAAATAAAACTGCATATGGTGTTGTAATGAAGATAAATGGCAAAACCATCAGTACCATCTCGGCGCGTTTGAATAACAACTGCAGTATTTATCTGGTTGAGCTCCTTGTGATACAGTCAGCGCTCCAATGGCTTAAAAATCAGGGTTCTCCAATTGCAAGCATTTACACAGATTCCCTTTCTTCACTCATGAGCCTGGAGGACCCACGTAAACACCTCAAACTTATAGAAGACACCAAAGTCATGTGGAGTTGTAACTATAACATAAATTGGATTAAAGCACACTCAGGCATTGAAGGGAATGAAGAGGCCGGCTGGGTCGCTAAGGAAGCCACTAAGCTTGGCCAGATTGATTTTGAGATCCCGGGTGAAAAATGTGAAATTAAATCTTACATTAGGGACATCACTTTTAACCGCTGGAGAGTTGACTGGAGGTCTAGTGACAAGGGAAGACAAACCTATAAATTTTTTAAAGACCCTAGCTTAAAGCGCCTGCAGGCCAATTTTTACTTAAACCAGCTCCTTACAGGCCACGGAGTGTTCGGGACCTATCAACAAAAATTTTTCAGAAAATCAGCTTCATGTAATTACTGTGGAGTGAGACAGGACATTAAACACCTAATTAAGAACTGTCCAACATTCCGAGCACTTCGTGGAACCCACATGAATAACTGCGAAGAGGAACACCAATTCTTTGCCATATTGACCTGCAGGAAAGTTGTGACTCAAATTATTAAACAAACCCTCGAGGACATTTTAAACTCAGATCAACTGACCCCAGTCATGAACCAACAATAGATCATGTCATCGTAAATTTTTTAACTAATCAACTTTTAGCCTTACATTTTGAAATTTTATCTACTTTTGATTTTAGACTTCATCGACTTCTAGTCAGACTTTTACTTTTAGACACTTACTCTTAGGACTTTTAGCTGTCATTGATTTTGGTTTTGAGATTTTTTGTCTCTTGTTTCCTTATTTAATTCTCGACATTTACACCGGCGCTTTGGATTTCATTGCCTTTAAAACGTTTTTAATTGTCAAGTATTATAGTTAATCCACTTTTAACTGATCACCACCACTGTCATTTGGCAAAATTTTACTGTAATTTTAGTTTTTAGAGAAATTTTTATTGTAATAATTTAATTTTTATCTCCGTATACCCCCTGGGGTGGGTCGGAGTTCAACCTATCTTATACTAGTGAATCGAAATTGTATTTTTGTAGTGGTAGCTACACAACAATTTGTTTTAAATTTTACTACACAAATGCTATTTTCTGGAGACTGGCCCAAGTTTTATCACTCAATAATTTCAACTTTGATTACATATATTTTGAGTAGTATTTTGAGCACTAAAAACAGGTCCTGCATCATATTTCAACTACGTTAAGCATTCTTTCCTATCGAATAACGATGGCGGAAAACAATGAACATCGTCAATTCGTCGTAACTCGTCATAATCGGATCGCACAAAGGTCATTAAGCTACATTACGTGGAGGTTATACTCCGTCCCTTAACTGTAAAAAATGAGCTAAGAAAACCTGTAACAATCATGAGAAGCAGGGCGAAAGAATTTTTGATTTCTTATCAACGACCTTAAATCTTATCAACAAATTTTCTGAAAAGTTGAAAATATATACAATTTCAAATTATTAAATTTCTTTATTTTACACTTTAATCTTGCTTCTTATTGTAGATAGGGACATCGCTTTGATTTAATGACTTAAACGAAAATTTCAGATAGAAAAACAATGCTTTTTTCTTCCATAATTTTCTCATAAAGGAATAATGAATTTTTTTTAATAGTACTTACCCAAATAAATGCCAAGTTCGATATGAGAATAAGGCGAAGGAAATTCATTTTATTTTAGTAGTTATTGATAAATAAGATGTCTGGATATATAAGTTATATATTTTTAGCCATTGCTTCAATTAACTTGTAATACTTTAGTAACGTTTTGAATAATACAGCAAATAAAGTAAATATATAATTATGATTATTCTTTCAGATATAAAGCTACACTTGATTATTCAATTTTCAATTCCATAAAAATCGTGATCTGGAGATAAAGAATGAAAGTTTGTATTTTAGCTACTGTTCGGGTCTATAATGTGTTCCATTTTTTCATCCAAATAACCATTTTATAATTTATTTTTTAGACTTGATGAAAAGAACACTTATCAAATTAAATGATTAATCATTATTCGATTAATAAAAAAGACCACTTTACACTTTTCGAATTCTAATTTTGAATATTTGCATTCTGCAAAAATCCTTTTGATATATTTGCTTTAATTTTAATTTATTCATTTATTTTTTTGGATTTTACAAGGAAATAATATTTTGTCCCACTAGGAACTTCACTATCTGTCATGAACATTACGACTAAAATATTCAGGTAAACAATACCTTTTAAAAACAGAGGAAAATTCATGTTAGCAAATGTTTATTCGGATGAATTATACTAAAGTTTTTGAAGATACTGATTTCAAATTATTAATTCCAGCAAAACATTGCATTACTATATTAAGCACTACTATATTACAAAGTTAGCGTATTACTATAAACATAAATATTTGTTCATAACTATAAATAATTAATGAAAGATTTAATTAATCAATCATCGTTTTAACTTTTTAACTTATAGATTAATCCGTATGAAGTAAAACATGAAGTACCATAATTTGACAATGTAATTTCAAAATGAAGTGCTATTTCTTCAAATTATTTTTTAAATTAATTTTATGCACTTATTTATTGATCAAATGGCTTGAATACCTAGGTTGAAAAGTAGGTTTTGAAAAAACCTTAAAAACTCAGAATAAATATTTTTTTACTCTAATTATAAATGGCTTCGTCATTAACAGATTCATTAATAAAAATTATTTCATTCATCTAAATTCACTAGTGTATTACATATTTGTTTTTGGGATTATAATTTTTTGTAAAAGAATTATTGTAGTTTAACGAATCATTAAAAAGATATGAAGAGAAACGTGACGCAAGAAATTGGAGCAGCAAATTTTAAAACTGTCATATTGGTTAGACTATAAAAGTCAGCTTTTCAAAACTTTCTCTACCTCCCTCCATTTTGGGAGTAATAAGGTTGAATTTGATAAAAAAAAATTATGTATTTTAAGCATGGGAAACAACGAAGTCGGATAAATGTGCTTATCTGGATGCTGTATTCTACAAAACTACTTTTCAGAGTGCAAGAAATGTTCCTATCAAGAAATGTTCATTGAAATATATGTTATATTTTTTATTGTAATAGGTATGATTTTTGTTTACAATGAAAAATAACAGAAAATAATTAAATGTTGTTTTGTAGTTTTAAAAGATACAATAAACAAGTTTTAAAAGATTTTAAAAGATACACATTCAGTGTATCTTTTTAAATTTTTTTTTCATACTTGTGTTAAACTGAAGAAATATAAAATAGCAAAAAAATAAATAAATGTTGTTTTGTAGGTTTAAAAGATACAAAAAACATGTTTTAGAAGATTTGAAAAGATACACATACATTGTACCTTTTAAAATTGGTATTGTTCACATTTGTACCAGACTGAATAAACAAAAAAATAACAGAAAATAATTCAATGTTGTTTTGTAGTTTTAAAACATACAAAAAACTAGTTTCAAAAGAATTTTAAGGATACACATTTCGTGCATGTTTTAAAATTGGTACTGTTCATATTTGTCCAGACTGAAGAAATAAAAATAACAGAAAATAATTAAATGTTGTTTTGTAGTTTTAAAAGATACAATAAACAAGTTTTAAAAGATTTTAAAAAATACACATTCAGTGAATCTTTTAAAATTGGTATTGTTCATATTTGTACCAGACTGAAGAAATAAAAAATAGCACAAAATAATTAAATGTTGTTTTGCAGTTTTAAAAAATGCAAAAAAAAAAACAAAAAAAAAAAAACAAGTTTTAAAAACCTTTAAGAAATACACATTTCGTCGAAGAAGGTCACGGACGTACGGTTTGCATGTCACGAGGTCATGAATCAACTTTAGGGGTATATGTGTGTCGCTTGCGGTGGCATCCCGTACCATAACACCAGCTCTAGAAGTGGTGAGCGTTTGGGCATCGTTGGGAGGATTGACATCAGCTCACCGTTACCTCCGTTTGGTGTGTAGTCGTTCTAGGCGAGATTAGACTACAACCGACTGAAATCGGACAGTCTTCTGTGATGAATTCGACTACAACCGACTGAAACCGGACAGTCTTCAGTGATGAATTCGACTATAACCGACTGAAACTGGACAGTCTTCAGTGATGAATTCGACTATAACCGACTGAAACCGGACAGTCTTCAGTGATGAATTCGACTACAACCGACTGAAACCGGACAGTCTTCAGTGATGAATTCAGATTCAATTTTGGCGGTGCTGACTATCGTGTATGAGTGTAGAGGGCACATGGTGAAAGCCTCTATCCACCATATGAGTTAGGTCCGAGGGTCTAACCTATATTACTCTATTTAATTTTCTATTTATTTAATTGACTGAAACCGGACAGTCTTCAGTGATAAATTCGACTACAACCGACTGAAACTGGACAGTCTTCAGTGATGAATTCGACTACAACCGACTGAAACCGGACAGTCTTCAGTGATGAATTCGACTACAACCAACTGAAACCGGACAGTCTTCAGTGATGAATTCAGATTAAATTTTGGCGGTGCTGACTATCGTGTATGAGTGTAGAGGGCACATGGTGAAAGCCTCTATCCACCATATGAGTTAGGTCCGAGGGTCTAACCTATATTACTCTATTTAATTTTAGGTCACAGTATTTTAAGTTACTGACAGAGACAAAAAAAATTAAAAAAAATGCTTTCTCCGAATAAAAATGCCTTCATATTTTTGATGGATTTTTTTTTTTCGATTCACACATTAAGCAGAGAAATCGCCATCTGGAAAATATTTTCCTGATAGTTTTAACAGAAAAGCAGCCCAAGTCTTCGACCAATGTTGATTTTTCTTATGTATCAATTTGCTGCTTATCAAAACTTCTTGTAAACAAATTGAGATATTATTTAAATTATAAAATTCATAATATTTATAAAATATTATGTTTTATATTTTATTTAATGAGAGTTGGGAAAAGTTCAGTTACAAATTTATTTATAAATTTAAAATACAAATTTTTACATAAATTTTCCATAATTTTCATATAGCCCCATAAATTTTTACCACTACTACTAAATTTAATGTTCACATTTTTTCATCGTGTTTAATTGGGGTAATTTGTCAGCTGTAGGTAAAAAATTTTGAATTATGAATTATTTTTCAAGTATTTGTTCCCATAAAATAAATAGTTATTTGGATTCCGAAATTGAAATTCATGCTTGACCTTAATCTAACAGCAGCTGAAATAAATAATTTCTTTCTACGATCTCTGGATCACGAATTTAAGCAGATGGTAAAATTAATTTATCGAGTGCAGCTTTATCTGAATGCATAATTTTAATAGTACACTGCTGGACAATTGCTAAGGACGGATAACACTATCATCCATAGCAACCACAAAATGAAGGGAAGCAAAATGTGGAAAATTAGAATAAGTGCGGGATATAGTAAGAAGGGGTATGCGTATGTAAATTTTTTCGTCCACGTTTGTTCATCACGTGATAGCGCTGATAAGAGCTTTAAAGGTTTTGACGCGTTGTGGAGAGTTGTTGTTTCAAGTCAAATTTTTACAGGAAAGATTTAGTTGACGAACTTGAAATTTTCGGCATGTCTTCCCGATATTACTTAGATGATTTTAAGCGTGGCCGAATTATT